CATAAAAAATATTGTTTGGTTAACTTTATCTCACTTTATTTTCCACATTCGAACTATAGTATTTTACTTTACTCTACTTTACTGTACTTTTTCAAAGTAAAATAAAGATAATGTGCCACCCCTATGCTAGCTCGAATTAGATCATAAGTGAAACTGACATTGAAATTAGAATTTGAATCCAAATTCAAATCGATACTTTTCTGTGAGTGGAGAGAAAGAGCAAGATTTGTTTTCATTGATTATTTGAATTCAAATTGAAACTAAATATTTTTCTTTTTTCTAAACTGGTAGGAGAGTGTCGATTGGAATTCAAATTCGAATCGCAATGTTAGTTACATCTATATTCGAACTCAAACTAGACAGTTAGTCGAAACTGCATACTGAATAAGTCAAAAATCGCGAAACGAAGAAAATAATAGCGATGAATCTATTGTGCATGAAGGAATAATGCAAATGAAAACCTAATAAATATGGTAGCGTCACAAAATCACAAGGAGACATATTTTCTTATCAGCTCGGTTTTCAGACCATATGTCATCCAAGAAAAAATACACTAATTCCTATTTTTTAAAAGTTCTGTTGGTTTCAGCAATCTCTAATTGTCACATAGATCAAACTTGAGATATTACTGATTATTATCAACAAGTGATAATCTAGAAAAGAGGAAGCTTGAATTGTGATCCTTCACTCGAACGGCGGCGGCGGCGGAAAAGTTCACGCCGAGACGTTCTATTCGGCGGCGGCGGATGAAAATTTTACCGGCGGCGGCGGCGAAAAATCGGCGGCTAACACCTCTAATCACACCACATCTATTTGAAAAAAAAATGAACAAGTCGACATATATTATGCTCTTCATATTACATCCCATATCCTCTTTCATTACATAAAACAAACAAATGCACAACATAACAACACAATCAAATTCGTGAACTTAATGACTTCTCTTTCGCTGGAACTCTTTACTTTTCTGTCGTGGGAGAGCCCTGTGACGGCACGATGTGTCGTCACTTGTGTTATCATTTTATTGTTTCTCTTATTTCGTTTTTCTTCGCGTTTCTCGCTTCTTCTTTCTCTCTATTATTTTAGTATCTTTCGCGCTCGTTACTACACAGATAGGTTGTTGTTCTCATCATTATTGTCAGAGAGAGAGTTGTACATATTTGAAGGTGTGAGTTGTGAAGATATATGTTTATACAAGAGCACTTATTCGACTTATTCATATTGTTTATCTGGCATTGAGCTTGTCGAACATCGAGACATCTCAGGGGATGGATATGGGGGTGGGTGTGGGTGTTGGTGCAGATGAAAAGATACAATACACCCACACCCACACCCCACCCACACCCCCACCCAGATAAGTACGATTCTAAATCTATTTAAATTCGAAGTTCAAAGAAATGAACTAGATGATCTTCTGATGAAACTATTAAAAGAACATGAAAATCAATTATATTTCGATTCAGTCAATCATCTATGTGTAACAGCTTGTAACGTAGAAGAGAAACTATATTTCGAATTGATGAATTTTAAAAAAGAAATTATTAATCAATTTGAAACACATTTACATGTAGCTGATGAACGAAATAAATTACTTTACATTTAGATAAATTAGATGATATTATAATCGAACATGAACAAGGTGATCTTAGTTATGAAATAAGAAAATGAATTTTTGATAAATTACTAAAGTCAATTATGAATAAAAAAGACGAGGAAATCGAAGAAATTTTAGCATCAATTTTAAGTAGACAAATTTTTCATTATTTAGCCAAAACTGAAGAATATTTTAATGAGAAAATAGTAGATTGTTTCAATATTGTTTTACCGAATCAAACATCGAGAAGTCGATTTTTAGCAAAGAAAAGTATTAATGAATTTTTCGATGAAATGGGTAAATTTTCAATTGAGAAAAGTGATAAAATGAAAAATCATTCAATTGAAGCTATTCTAAATAATAGTACGAAAATTTATGATTTACCTTGGAATAATGCCGAAGAAGTTTACGAAAATAAGACCATTATGAGTACATTGTATGCATCAACTCGATTAGAAAAACTCAAGAATTCGATTTAAAAATTTAATATTGCATTTCAAAAATTCGAAATAAAAAGATGTGATGTAACTAATTAAAGTCTTATTAGTTCCATTAATCGAAATAGTCAAAGAAATAACTTATTTATTCGAGTTAATTTAAAAAAGGGTTTAATTTGTTTTAAAAATCGTAATCATATCAATATCATTCTGGTTTTTCTAAGTAAATGTTACAATATTTTTGCTCATAGTATGTTTCCTGATAAACAACATCAGCAAAACATATCCGATTTCATTCAATCGATTGATATTTTTCTTGAAGAGAAATTAGAAATTTCTACTAACTTAAATCCAGAATTAGATAACGATAATGAGTATGATCAAGAAGAAAATCACAACTTAGCATTGAAACAAGACGATGACATAGGCAATCTTCAAAAAGAACTAAAAAAAGCTAAAACAATGTTTGAAAAATAAAATCTACAAGATTTCAAATTATAATTTGATAGAAAAAGAACATATGAGTTATATGAAACAAAGACTAGAGAATCCTATTTATGTTGTTCTGGATAAGCTCATGGAAAGTTTTAAACAAATTTTAGGTTTAATGAACTTCATCGGATGCCAAAAGTATACATTTGTTAAGGAATTTTGTGAAACACTAACATCTAATATGGCACTAGGCCTTCAAGGAAAGCTTGCTGAAAATAAAAGAACTAATATTGATAAAATTCAATCGTTTTTGATTTCAAATCGAGACCAATTGTTTGAATATGAAGTTCTAAAACAAAATTGTTTAAATATAAAAATTGAATCTTCAATTCTTAAAAATCTACTAAATGTTAAAGATAATAATTTGCAATTGCATTTCAAAAAATTTCGAATTATGATAATCAACATTGAAAAAAACTCTGATCGTTTCAAAAAAGACGATTTAAAATCCTTGTTAATAGTATTAGATAAGATCGATCTCAATCATATCAATGAAAATAAGAAAGACATTGAAGTACATTTAGCAAATCTCAAATTATTTTTAGTTAATTTATATTTAAAAATGTTGAACAGTGAAAATGAAACAATATTAAAAGAGAAACAAATGTCTAGTAATCAGATCGATGAGATTATTTATTTTATACAATTTTTTTGGAATAAATTATTTCGAATATTCAATGTTAAAAATAGTTATTCAAACTTACTTGAATATTTCGATGAAATTCATCATTTGATAAAAATTAATGAATTCGAGATCAATACGATCACGAAAACTATGGAAATAAAAACTGATGAGATTCAATTGAAAATTTTTGAAGCAAAAGATTCGTCGTATATATTCCTTGAATTTGAAGAAACACTAAAAACTAATCTATCGAATATTTTATGCTTACTCGATGGTTTATCATCGCATTATCTAGCTGATAAAAAAGAACAGTATAGAAAACTTCTAGAAAAAATTCAAAATTTAAATATTGATCAAATATATAATCAACAATATTTAAAGCATCTTTTGAAATATTGTCGTTTGTATTGTTCACTAACAGCAGATGAAAATGAAGCTTTGATTCGATTAGAAAACATTCAGAGAGTAGCATGTTTTAATATTGCTATCAATGTTTTAAATGAAATTATACTGACTGACAAAAATGAATATTCTATTTGTCTGATGCAACAGGAAGCGAAACCATTAGAAAGTAGAATTAAACAAGGGAAAGAAATCGATATTATCAAAATCAATCGAAATGAATTTACAATTTTCTATAAGAATCAAATCGATGATACTATTTCCAACTTTATAACTGACGACAAAGAACTTGTCAATGAACTTTCAACCATAAATTTTAATTATGACATTCTTCTTGATAGAGAAACTTTTAAAAAAGTTTATAATCTAATTGATAAAATGATAAAATCTCAAAATAGTTATGTTCAGAAGTCATTTGAGAAAAATCGAATTTTAGAATATATTAAGAGCAAATCAAAAGAAATCGATTTAGATAAATCTGTGCTCATTCATCTTAATGAAATATCGAGAAAACAATTACAAGATACAGTCAGTTATACTTATGAGTCGAAGTCATTAATAGGATTCTTAAATACAGATAAAGAAAACAAATATATAGAAGACATTCTTGCAATGATTGCAAATGATAAAGAAAAAGAACGTTACATGAAAGAATTAGACGAAATTTTTCAAATGCCCATTATTGGATGGGAAGAAGAATTGGCTACATTAAGAATAGAATTATTAGAGAATAAAATATTAAACAGATTTGAGCAAAAGAATAGTGACAAGGCAAAAATTCATGACTGTATTAAACAATCACATTTTTTTGCTGAAAATCGCTTAGATGAATGGTTTGATTTAATTAGAACCATTGCCACAATCAATCGAGACATAAGATGTATTTCATTAGATGATATTACTAAATTAATTTTGCGTTTAGTTGATTTTGACGATTTGTCAATAGTTAAAACCATTATCGTTGAAAAACGACCGGAACAATGGTTATTTGAATTTTTATTTGCACGTATAGAATCTAATATATATACAATGCTGTCGAACAATGATGATGAATTAAAAATTAAATTTTGCCGTTTGAAAAGAACATTACGTTTATGCAATAAAGTGACAGTTCGATTTTTAGAAATATTTGGTTATCTAGTATTAGAATATAAAAAGGAATTATCTGGTTCATTCAATCGTGATTCTCGTATGTTTTTAATCGAACTCATTGATTTAGTCATTGATAGTGAAGTGTATCTAGACGAAATATTATTAGATAAACTACATTTAAAATCACTGCCATTATGGATATCACCTCTTGAGAAAAGAAAATTAGTTCGAGAACTAGAACAAATTCCACTATTTTCAGAATCTTTAAGAGGAAAATTTCATACTGTTAATTATTTGTGCAAAATAAGAGAAGAATATGGAAAAGATCTTTTAAAACAATTATTAAATCTATTTCAAAACATCGAATTTACGAATGAAAATACTATAAATACAATTAGACGATTGAATGATTTATTAGAGAAATTAGCTTACGGTGGCTATACATTAGATAAGGATAGTTTAACACAATTAAATGATAAACCATTTGATCAATGGGAAAATGTTTTAAAGTAAAATACCAAAAATCAGTTAAATGTTTTAACTGTCGATCAATTATTGAGTTTAATGAGAGAAAAAATTGCTGAAGGAGAAATAAATTATCCTCTAAGAAATCTATTACAAGACGAAAGTGTTATGGAAACGAGAATACATAAATTATTAGAAAATATCAATTGTTACTTTGATGAGAGATTCAATGAAGAAGATAAAACATTAAAATATACGAGAAAAGAATCGAAAATTTGTGATGAACTATCAAATATTCCTATTATGAATTGGACTAAAGATAATATTCGACAATGGGCTGATAAATTAAAAAAAGAAATACGTCTGAGACAAATATATTTTGATTGGAAAAATGAATATCGTGCGGAAATTATCTCTGTCATTGTAAGAGCCGTAAAATTCTACCGTAGCTATTCACCTAGAAACACACAATTAATTGCTTTAGCTATATTCGTAGATCCTACGGGATCTAAGAAAGGTCGATTAGATAATATATCAACAGGTGAAGGCAAATCATTGATCACTGCAATGTTAGCAACAGCACAAGCATTAATAGGCGAAAAATTTGATATTGTGACAAGTTCGAAAGTGTTAGCTATTCGAGATGCTAGTGATGATTCACGTGAAGGATATAGAAAATTTTTTGAATTATTTGGTTTAAAAGCAGGAAATAATTGTGATGAGGCTTGCGATGCTACTGGCACAGGTGATAAAGAAAGAAAAGAACGCTATGAACAAAATGATATCATCTACGGAGAAACAGGTTATTTTCAGAGAGATATTCTATTAACGAATTTTTTCAATAAAAACATACGAGATTGTATCGGTAATAGTTTAATTGTTGATGAAGTTGATAATATGGTTATTGATAATGCTGAAAAAACATTATACATCTCACATAGTATTACTGATATAAGATATTTATGAGATCTTTTCATTCAAATTTGGGTAGCTGTATATACACAATACGAAAACTATTATAGTGATGCAAATGTCGATAAAATTTATGAACATATTTAACGATTGATGGAAAGTCAGGAATTGAAAATTCCAAGTTCATTGAACAAATTTATCACTAGAAATTTAAAAAGTTGGATAACCAATGCCTATTGAGCGATATGTATTGAAAATAACGATAATTATATTATTGGTGATGTTGAATCAGCTAAACATAGAGAAGTTTTAATTATGGATAAAGATACAGGTGTCAAACAAATGACTTCACGTTGGAGTAACGGATTGCATCAATTTTTACAATTGAAACATAGTGGCAAATTGAGTGATGAAAGTTTAAAAGCTGTCTTTATGTCAAATATGAGTTTTTTTTAAATCATATCGTAATTTGAATGATATGACAGGAACCATTGGAGGTAAACAAGAAAGAGAAATTTAAAATAGAGAATATGGTGTTGATAGCTTTGAATTACCTCGTTTTAAAAAATATCGATTTCAATATGAGAAAAAAAAATGAATCGATTAGTTCTACCGAATATGAATGGTGCGAAAACATAGTTAAAGATATTCAAGAGAAAATGAATGCTCAACGTGAAATAACGAATACGAAAGAACGAGAGCAAATAAAACAAAATCAGGAACAATCAGAAAAAAATCTTCAAAACGTCTTCGGTCAATTAGAAAATTTGCGCCCTCAACTTGCCAACGAAGAAAATATAAGTAAAACATTAACCCTAGAAAAAGACGAACTAGAAAAATATCAACAGGAGTTAAGAAAAAGAATTCTTAATCCATTAGATAGAGTAGATGAAATTAAAATAAAAGATTTTTATAAAGAATTAGAAAAATATGGCAAAGACATTAATGAAAAAATCAAAAACAAGGAAAAAATTGATCGACAAATCAAAGCGTTACAAGAAACTATTTATTTTAATGAGGCAAAACGAGAAAAATTAGAAAAAGAAATTGAAAATTTTGAAAAAATATTAGCACCGAACGGTAATAGAGATAAGCGACGTGCTGTTCTTGTTATATGCGAACAGATTGCTAGTCTAGAAAAGATCGCTGCCAAAGTTAGAAAAGAATTTCATACCAAAGAAAATAACATCTATACTTATGATCGTGCCTATAAAAAATTCGAAAAAAATGAATTAAATCCTGGCGATATTATTATTGCAACTAATATTTCAGGTCGAGGTACGGATTTAGGTATTAATGAATTAGTTGAAGTTAATGGTGGATAATATGTTATACTATCCTATGTGCCCAGTAATCTACGAGTCGAGAAACAAGCATTCGGTAGGACAGCTAGAGCTGGCAAACGAGGTACAGGTGTTTATATTGTACAAGATTCACGTAAAATGACATCGATGCCCGATATTACAGTTGATTATTTATTAGATGAACGAGATGAATTAGAAAAAGAACGATTACAAGAAGTTGTAATTAAATCTTTTCCGAAGATCAAGTTAGAAGATGAACTATTTAAAGAATTTGTTTCATTTAACGAACAAATCAAATCGAAACTAGAAAAATCTTTACCCATGACGGATAGTAGTGATATAAATAGTGTTGAATCATCAGATTCCGACTGATTTAGATGTTGTTGTGGTTGTGTGTATGATAAATTATTTGTTGAAGATTCATGATCAATGTTGATCAATGAATGTAAATCTGGTATTGTTGTTGAATCAGATTGAACAACTTCAATGAAAGAAACATCTGGATCTGATAGATCAATAACTAATGGATCAGAAACACCATGTGTTAAGGTGTTGGACGAAGTAAAGTTTAAATTCTTTTTTCTTTTTTTTTCCCATCAGTTTGAAATGCTACAAACATAAGATAGAAAAAATAGATATTACAATAATTAGAACATTAGCTTAACTTACTTTATTATCATCATCATCACAATAAAGCTTATTCCGAGTATTTGTAATATCAATTAAAACTGAATTCTAATTGTGTTTTATCAGAAGAAAGTTTTATTTTCTTTTGTTCTCGTCTGTTGGTAATAAATGAAAGTGGTTCTAAGTCGAAGACCAGTGATTTATAACAATTGACGTGCACTTGTTGATATAAAAGTGAGACATAAAATTCTTGATCACGTCGACGTCGATAACCTTCACGAATTTTTTCTTCTCTCTCAGTTGTGCAAATCTTTGTATATTTTAAACGAGCGAGTCGACCTTGTTTTCCGCAAAGAACACATGGAATAATTTTTGATGGCATTCAGCTTCACGAAACAATTCAATATCACAATAATAAAGAAAAGATGTTTGTTATCCGTGGATGTCAACTTTGTCTTCTATAAAAGAAAGATGACAATGTCATATGCACTCTTAAATTTCTATTGGTTTGATATCACCATTAACGTGCACTAATTACCGCTATTCAATGGTGATCTCGTAAACGCGACTTGGACTAGTAAATCGGTACTTCTTCAGATCGACGACACCATTTCGTATTGGTTGTATGATAAAGAGGAAAGGAAAATTTTCCTTTCCTCTTTATCATACAACCAATACGAAATGGTGTCGTCGATCTGAAGAAGTACCAGTAAATCTAATGTGACTAAAATTTCTAATTCACCGAGTGAGTGAAAATATTCATCATTAGAACTCTCGAGAAAGAGTCTAGACATGTGGTGCCCTCACAAAGTGCATTTTTTTTCCTATTGATTCGATGAGTCATCGGGCTCAGCGTACATACTAACGCTAAAGCTAAATCTGAAAACACACGAAATTCAAATTCTAGATCAACAACAGAAAATGTTTGGTTTTTTGAAAAGTACGTTTTTTCATCGCCTCAATCTCAATCATTTTGTTCTTGTTATAGGACTAATGAATCATCATAATATGATCAATTACAGTATCATCAATCACAGTGGTTCATTGTCTATTCCATCATCTTTCAATCGAATTACCTCAACATGGTTTAGAAATGAATTTAATAAAACTCTTGAAGAAGAACATATCATGAAAACAGATTCGTTAAAGAAATTTGAAGAAACTGTATGTACCATTATTGATTCTTCTACTCATTGTGGCATGACAAAACCAATGCAATTAGCTTCATTATTCGATGAACTTCGTCTGTTGATCGAGTCAACAGCACCAAAAAATATTCAAGAAAAATTATTCAAGGTATTGTACAATATTGAACAATTGGCAATAAATAATGAAAAAAAATTACGGATTTGTCCGGTCAAGTTACTGATCTTCGTTCAGCTGTACAAGGTTTACAAGAACGTCAACATGAACAGGATGCTATACTACATGCATTTGAAGTTTCATTTCTGTATCGTTATCATATTGTTTTACCAATAATTCGATGTCATTATCCAAAGATTCGATGGTCAGAAATTGTTAATATTGTTAAACAAACTTCACATAATTCGTTAGAATCAGGTAAATTGTTTCTTCTCTTTATCTCACAATCTGACTAAGTCTAAATCTTAATTTAGCTCATCGTCCACCATCACCAAAGATTATGGCAAAACGACGCGAGTTGCAATCACTTTGTTCAATTGATCTGGATAAACTTGTCCGTTTATCAAATGTACGCAACGAAGTGATGCACATCCAAATTGCTAATATCAATGAACAAAAAATGTTATTGGAACAAATGGAACATTATTTAGACTCGAAATCGATCAGAGAATTCAAAGACAGTATAAAATATATGTTAAATGAACTGAAAAATCATAAACTGGAGAAAATACAAAATTTTTTTTAATTAATAAACTAGCTTTCAACTGAAATTTACTGCTTTCGATATTATCTACTTGACTGATGAAAGTTAGCTGTATCAACTTAGTCAACGCAATTTATTCCATCAGAAGAAAATGTTCCAGAGTATTGATAGTAGTGAAGATAATCCTTATTGTATTGATTGTTTCGACAGTTTGTCTTTCAATATTTTCGATTCATTTAGTTGCATAGACAACAGAAGAGACTGTTGTTTCTAATGTTGATCCGTTGTCTGTATATATGTGCATTGATAGATGTGTTTCGATTGTAACGCAAAAAGTCTGACATGAGCATCGATTACTTATGGTGTATTTTTATGTATTGATTGTGTCGCAAAACATCATGGACTTGATGTTCATGTATGATTTATTCGTTCAACCAATCTTGATCTAGTTGGGATGGCTTCAACTTCGGTATGTTCTATTCGAATATTAATTTTCAATTGTTATGTTTTCTGGTATATTTAGAGTTATGCAAGTTGGTGGAAATGCTAATGCTGTAAGTATTATATCATATGATGATCAATGAAAATTCTAAGATTGATTTTTTTTAGGAAGCATTTTGTCAACAACATGGTTGTGAAACAAAAGATAACCAACAAAAATGTAGTAGTCGAGCTGCACAACTTTATCGTGAAAAACTTCATCAACTTGCTACTAAAGCAATGAAACAATATGGGACTAAAATAATGAAATATTAAGAAAGAATTATTTTAATGATATTTATGATATTTTTCTTTAGCTTTTTTTTTGATGAAGGACATAAGAGTGAACATAGTCATGCAACATCTGAAAAAAAAGAAGGTGATTTCTTCCATGAACATTCTCAACCATCAACTAAAACTGGTTGGGATGATAATGTAGCAATCTCTTCACATTCAAGCGATCAAAGTCTTGATAAGAGTAAATTAACTTCTTACTTTCTTTTCTATTTTTATCGTTTCGTCCGTTTTTGTTTTTAGCTGAACAACAAACAGAAGGATCATCGATTGATCCAAATGCATTTAATAATAATGGTTCAGTGAAAACACTCGATCAAAAAAAAAACAACAATTGGTCAACGTCGACCAACAGCAGCGAAAAAGGTCTGTTTATCTGAATGATAGCTTAGTTTCGATTGTATTCTGTTTTTTGATAAAATAAGTTAAATTATTGTTTTTTGTTTAGAAAGATTTTGATGTACAAAAAGTAACAGCTAATTTCAAAGAAATCGAACGTAATATTCAAGAACAAGTAAAATTTCGTGGAGAAGCAGAAAAATAACTTGAAAAAGGCATGTAAATGAATTATTTATAATAAAAAACAAATCATACTTTTATATTTTAGGGCAAATCTTAAATTTGCTTATCAAGATATAAACAAAAAAAAAAACGTGAATTACAAGAAGCTAAATTAAAACAATCAAATTCAAAGAAAACTGAGCAAATGGAACATCTTGGCATGAGATTTGGCAATCGAAGGTAGAACCATCGGCGGGTCACTAGCGTGGCAAAGTGTGGCACTTGCCACACCAAAAATATTTGAAATAATCGACAACCGGACAAAAACTAATCATCAAAACAATTTTTTTAGTAATTGCCAAACCAAAAATTTTGATGCTGACCCGCCGATGGGTAGAACTTATATTTCAACAAAAAGAAGAATAAATAAATCATTATCTTTTATGTATTTAGTGGTGCAAGTTATAGTGCTATGACTGATATGCAAACAATTCAACAAGAAGGTGTAACAACAACAAGAAATGTTTCACTTGCACCACGAAATCGAGATTTTTTGATGATTATGAACCAGCTGGTTTTAGTAGTCGATCAAAGTATGTTTTTCGATTTATTGATAGATATGTAATTCAATTTATTATTTAGTTATAATATATTATCACCGAGAAATAATGATCGATATAATGATGATTCTAGAAAGTATTCATATGATTAATACTAGCAATGCACATACTTTTCTACACTGTAAAAAAAAATCGTAGAATAAAAAACGAAAAATGGGTTTATGAAAGTGCAACGTGTAGCAAACCCTTTTCAACCGTTTAT